AGATCATGAGGACAGCGAACGTTCAGGGAGGGCTCTGGAAACAGCAAGATTGTGGCCTCTGGAATCCAGCTGCCCAGGTCCAGACCCCAAGTCCACTCTGCCACTCACGGGCTGAGGGACCTGGAACAAGCTGCTTCACTGCTGGGGGCCTGGCTTCCTCAACGGTAGGATGGAAACACACAGAGTGCTTTCCCCGCAGGGTGGCTGTGAGGATTACATGAGACCTGGCATGTGGCCCGCCCTGTGATAAATCCCCAACACATGTCAGCACAGAGCTACTGTCTGACCCTGAGCAGCGTGGCTGGGCCAGACTGGAGAAGCTCCTGAATACACACGTGGGATTTTCTCTTTGACAAAATGGGCAGCCGGTAGATTTCGAAGGGGAGCTGAGCAGAGAATTCGGCGGGGTCAGAGAGGAGAATCGGGGAGGCTAATGAGGAGACTATTCTAGTGGCCCTCTGGGGTTTTACTGGGGCTCGTTAGGGAAAGTCTGTATGAGAAGGAAACAGAAGCAAAGGGAGGAACAGGGAAGGAAATGTGAGAGAACTGAGCAGGGAGGCTGCCAGTAGCAGCAAAGGACATCAGAGAACATAGGGGTCTGTGGCCAGGCCACGGAGATCTGACGCTGCCGACAAGGGCGCGGGTGAGGGCATGGGGAGAGAACGTGAATAAAACCTCAGAAAACCCCATGGGGACCCTCCCCATCCCCAGGACTGCAGGGCCCTACATCATCTCTGCCACCAGGAATACCTGGCTCTGGGCCTGGGGAGCATCTGGCCCTCAGTCAACACATGCAGAACGGACGGATGAGCAGTGGAATGTTCAGGAGGAATGCTCTGTTCCCTCCCACACCCCACTGCGGCAGCCCCTTGGCCAAGCCAGCCTATCCGACACTCCTCCCTTCCAGACCAGGAGAGGACAAGGGCCTGCCCAGAGGACGGATCAGTGCTGGGGGAGAGAAGGGATAAAAGGTGCTGAGTTCGGGGTGAGGGAGAAGCTGAGGGCCCTGGAGGAGACCCAGCCTGGCCTCCTGCCCTGCCACCTGCCCAGGGCCACGAGGGGGGGGCACGTACGTCATCCTCAGTGGCTGCCTGTGGCAGCATCCTCAGCATGACGATGTTACTGGCCTTCTCCTCCTCCTCCTCCTCCTCATCCTCCTCCTCCTCCTCCCCTTGCTCGGTCCGATAGTCCTGGTCCCGATAGTCGCCGTCTCGGGGGAAGCCTGGCGGGCCGGTGGGGCTGTGCCTGTGCCGCCGCCGCCGCCTACGCTGAGTCTCGGAGCCCGGGGAGGCCTCGTAGGAATCCTGGCCAACAGAATAAGACGAGAGACACCAGACGGGCAGTCAGTCTGGGGTGGGCCTAGGGGCTGGCCGCTGGCTCTCTGAGGCAGGCAGGCTCTGAAAGCCAGGGGTGGGCGGGCTCCGGCTAAAGGCTCAGGGCAAGCAAAATGGGTAAGCCCTGGACTGCAACCCTTCTGGGGTGGGACACTGTCCCCAGGATGCCTGTTGGGGGCTGCCTTGGTGGGGAGTGGGGAGAGGCTGGTGGCAGTCCTGCTGTGGGGGAGGAACTCCCACAGACAGGTGACCAGATACCGCTTAAACCTCCTTGGGTCCAGGGTCAGCACACTAAATCCTGCCCTCTGTTTCCCCCTCTTCCTCCCTTGCAGCTCAGCCAGTATGTGCTCAACTGTTCCTTGATATCTCATCCAGAGCCGGTCAGCAGGGGCTGGCAAAGGTGTGAGGGCCACAGCCCTGCCCCCAGTCCCGATCCTCTGTCTGGCCAGTCTTCTATCACCACCAGGCTCCCTCCTAACATGGTGTGGTCACTAAATTCTTGGGTGTCGCCCAAGCCATCCTTCCAGGACTAAGCAGGCCAGGCCAGGGTCCATACCCCTTCTGCCCTCAGGGAGACCAGATAACTCGGCGCTCCACTCCCACTCTTCCCACAGGGGCTACCCACGGCCCCCTGGTGCCCCAGAGACATCCAGGCACATATCACAGCTGCCACTGGGGAAACCTGGCTGCCCAGCAGAGTTCTTTGCACTGGACTCTCCCAGATGGCAGCTGGTGGCTCACACTCTGTCCTCCAGGACTGACTTGCAATAGTACCCTTCCCACCCTGCTACATAGGAGACCTGCCTGCTTGCTTGGACCTGGGCCCGGACGGACTATCCTCTCAAAGTGGGGTTCCCCTAAGGCAAGTCTGTTGCTTCTCCTCAGACAGTGAACATCACGCCTCCCCTCCTCAGGCTAGGGCTAACTACCCAACGTGGAACTGGCTACCCCCTGAGCTCAAAGGAGAGGCCCCAGAGGGTCTTTTCCTTTTGTGCAGGGGCTCTGCTGCCCCTGGGACTGCCCACGGTTGGGCCTCCCAGGGCTGCTCTCTTTGGTGATATCCAGTTTCCCCATGGCCCTCCCAACCCCAGATGCTGGATCCCATGCAAGAGGCTGTTCAAGGGCCCCAAACTGGCTGGGAGCAGGCGGTAAAGGGCTTGCAGTGAACCGTGGACCCAACTGAACAACAGGGAAGAAGGGAGAGAGGTGATGGCCAGGGGCCCTCAGAAGTATAGAGCCAAGCATGTGGAAGTCAGGGAGACCCAACTTGGGAGAGAAGCCCTCAGAGAGGGGAGCAGGGACAGACCCTCCAGGTGAGACAAAGCCACTGAGCACAGTCTGAAGGTATGGGAGCCAAGAGCTAGCTGCACGTGGTGCTACAACCAGAGGCCCTGCAGGCGCCTGTCCGCCCCGGTGCTCACCTCTGCACTCTGCTCCTCGGACGAGTCGTCATAGTCGTGCTTGCCCTCCTGGCTACCGTACTCGCGGGGATATGAGCGGTAGTCCATGTCCCGGTAGTCGTGGTCTCGGCTGCGGCTCTCCCCCCCATCGTCCTGCGAACGGTCAGTGGCTCCGTAGCGGCCAGTCCTATCCCCACGACCACCTCTGAGGGAAGAAGGATAGGGAGGAATTAGAGGGCAGTCCTCTTGGGAAGGTGCAAGAGGTGAGGGGGGCTCCCACCCACTCACTCGCTCTAGACTCTTAGATCCCAATCCCGACAGGGGTCCCGAAATCCTAACTCCACAGCAAGGGGAGCTGGCTCCCACCTCTCAAACCCAATCCGCTTCCGCTTCCCTTGGCCACCTCCCCCAGCCCCTGCCCGGCTTCCTTCACAGGGCCCTCGGGTGTAGCCCTGGGGCCAGTCTCACCTCCACCAGGCCTCTCCCAGCTCATTCTCTACACCCCAAAGATAAGCAAGTGTTCCAAAAGCAAAGCCAATCAAGCCCAACCATCCACTGCACTCCCTTCAGTGGCTCCCTCTTATTTGGAAGATAAAACAACAAAATGCTCACCCAGATCCCGCAAGGTCTGCAGGGTATGTGGGGCAAGGTCTCTACTGACCTCTCTTCCTCTGCCCCATGTTGCACCGTGCTACCCTGCCCCTCTGTTTCACGGTCACCCCGTTAGCACTGGCAGCTGTTTTGTTGAAATTTCTTCTACTGCGATTACTATAAAATAATTATCTCAAAGTTGATTTCATGTGCCTTTTTTTTTTTAAAAAGATCTTATTTTTAAGTAATCTCTATATCCACCGTGGGGCTTGAACTTACAACCCTGAGATCAAGCATCGCGTGCTCCACCACCTGAGCCTACCAGGCATCCCTCATGTGCATTTCTTTGATGATTTAAAGAAGTACTAGACCATGTTCTGGGAAAGAGGGGACAACACCTAGAGGGTCCCCTGCCCTATTTCCCAAAGCTTAGCTTAGTACCTGGTACTTAGTGGGTGTCCAATAATTGTTTGATAAAATAATGATTTAAAAAATGTTCTAAAAGCAACCAATACAGGTTCACCTAAAACAAGAAAAAACAGGGCGCCTGGGTGGCTCTGTCGGTTAAGCGACTGACTTCGGCTCAGGTCATGATCTCACAGTTCATGGGTTCGGGCTGACAGTTCAGAGCCTGAATCCTGCTTCGGATTCTGTCTCCCTCTCTCTCTGCTCCTCCCCCATTCGCATTCTATCTATCTCTCAAAAATAAATAAACAAACGTTGAAACAAAAAAAGAAAAAACAGACATGACCATAGACTACTGCTAGCAGGTCCCAATCCTGGTCAGGAACAACAGTTTTAGAATGTCCTTTATCAGGGGCGACTGGGTGGCTCAGTCGGTTGAGTGTCCGACTTTGGCTCAGGTCATGATCTCACAGCTCATGAGTTCGAGCCCCGCTATCAGGCTCTGTGCTGACAGCTCAGAGTCTGAAGCCTGCTTCAGATTCTGTCTCTCTCTCTCTCTGTCTCTCTCTCTCTCTCTCTCTGCCTCTCCCCAATCACACTCTTTCTTCTTCAAAAATAAACATAAAAAAATTTTTAAAAAAAGAATGCCCGTTATCAACACCACTAGGAACACCATTTTAAAATACTAACTGAACCAAATAAGAGAATAAAGAAAAATGGTTAAAAGCTGGAAAAGAAAGGTAAGATTACCATTATTTATAAATGATATAGGGATATGCCTACAAAGCCTAAGAGAATCGACTGAAAAATGATTATAAACAATAAATCAGTAAGAATGCTGGGTACAAAAGTAATATGCAGAAATAAATACATTGCCTGTATTCGAGGAGCCACCATTTAGAAATGGGAAGATCCCAGGGCACCCGGGTGGCTCAGTTGGTTAAGCGTATGACTTCAGCTCAGGTCATGATCTCACAGTTGTGAGTTCGAGCCCTGCATCAGGCTCTGTGCTGACAGCTCATATCCTGGAGCCTGCTTCGGATTCTGTGCCTCCCTCCCTCTCTGCCCCTCCCTGTCTCGCGCACTGGGGTGCGCACACTCTCTCTCTCAAAAATAAAAAATAAAATCGTTCTAAAAAATTAAAAAAAAAAGAATGTAAAGATTCCAAGTATAACTAAACCAAAAAGGTTAATTACACAAACACAAGATTTTATGACTATACTTCACACATATAAACCTGAATATGTTTAAAATGGGTCAAAGATTTGCAATGACATGGACGGAGCTAGAGTATAATGCTAAGCAAAATAAGTCAGTCAGAGAAAGACAAATATCATATAATTTCATTCACATGTGGAATTTAAGAAACAAATCAAACAAGCAAAGGGAACAAAGAAAGACCAAGCAAGAAACAGACTCTTAACTATAGAGAACAAACTGATGGTTACGGT